GATAAAGATCCCATTACAGTTTAATTCTTTGCTTTCAAATGAAAATGGAACATTGTCTTTGTTTTTGTTTTTGTTTTTTTTTTTTTCCTATGCTTCTATATATGCAGTAACCATTTCGTCATACTTATTACTATTCATGAACATAGACAACAACTTCAGGATTACAGTACTTTCATAAGCATAGTTTTAAGGGGTGTTTTTGTAATGAGGTAATTTTTCTGATATCTTGTGGGTATGCATGACTGGCCATGGTACATAGGCTGGTTTAGGTAATAGGCAGGAAAATACTTCACTTTCTATGGTTTGACAGTTAAAATAGCTTTATTCATGTGAATTAAGCATGTCATGCATAAATTGATGTCTCAAATAATTTTAAAATACAGTGCAATATAAGCAACATCAAGAAAGCACCTAGTGTCAAACCAAGTATTAGGTAAAGTACAGTGTTAGGAGGTCTTATTCATTCCCCCTCAAGCTATCTTTCAGACCATCATGGAAAGCTCACTCAGAAATATGTCTTTCAAGAAATCTCAAATAATGCCACTTTTTATTTACAAACTTCAGTAACTTCAATATAATCTGGAGTTAAAGCAATTGCAGATCTATCTTCTCTAGAACATACCTCCAACAACCCTCACAGACATACCTGGCAAGAATTTCTGCATGAGGGAACGAAGAAACACTGATGTCTTTAGGGTACAACCTTCACATTAAATACATACTTGTAGAACTCAGTAGCTACAGTGATACCTAGAAAAGCTAAGTTGTGCTTTGCTGGTGCCTTGCTGTGTATTTTAACAATTTTCATTTATTTCTCCTTTTAAAATGAATGATCTGAGAGGACAGAATATTTCACACTAGGTAGTACATCTTGTACTACATAGAGGTTTGCAAAAGGAAAAGTCTAGGAGCTGTATTTGGGAGTTCCCAGTGGATTGCATATCTTTATACTAATTTTGAATAATGTCCTAAGAACGTCAGAAGTGCCACTTTTCTCATCTGATGAGAACTGGCTTAAGTTTGATGTGGGGGTAAACCAGACTTGATCATTTCCTAAATTCAAAGGAGTTGCTTCACGCCAGTGCCAAATTAAAGGCTTTTTTTCCTTACAGAAGTACCTTTCAGAAAAATACAGTATGCTCAATAAATAAATGTAAAATGAAAGCAATAGTTGTGAATATGTGAGAAAAGTGTAAATGTAAGCTGGAAAAAATACCATGGACAGTTATTCAATATTAAAATAGATACATTCATTTTTATTGTGTCCTTGAAATACAATATTCACTTAAGATGTTAGATTACTAAAATAATGCAGTTTCAATTTTCTTGCTCAGAAATTCACAATATACCTTATTTGATCTAAGACCCTTAATGATGGATATTAACTATTAAAGCAGAACCCAACCATTGTTCATCTATATACAAAATGTCAGTTTGCACAATTAAGAGCAATTCATAATCTTTTGAATGTCAGAAAGTTCAACAACAATGAAATAAAAGATCATTTATAATTCTACAAGAGAAATTCACAGACTAGTAATTATTCATAAAAATAGCAATGCAAAAAATAGTGATATGCAACTGGCTTAAAAGCATAAACTAAAGAACAACTCTTACATGGTTTTGTATTAGCATATTAGGTCATACTGGCAGAGACGTGAAAGTGTAATTTGCAAATAGGTACACATAGACTAGCATGGTATTTTAAGTAATGTAAGTTTAAAAAGTTTACAATAGCTTATAGCAGTAATGAATGTCAGCATGAAAATAGAGAACATACAGTTTGAAAATTAAAATAATTTTTAAAATTGCATTTTAGCATTCATATTAGCTGATGATGAAGTCACTTTTCTTCTTGGGTGCTGTAGGGCCATTATTTATTACTGACTTAATAAACCTATTTTATACGAGAAAAAAGGTGGTGTTTGTTTTTTTTTTAATAGAAGATCAACATAGTCATAGGCAGTGACAACCTGCAGTCAGAGGCTGGTACCCACCAGCAAGTCACATCTCAAACTGATCAGTGAGTGCACTGTTTCACTACAGGAACAGCAGAGAAATTCAAGAGATACCTGCACACTCCTCCTGGCTGACCCTAGGCTTGCCAGGTCAGCGGATGAGACAAGCTGGCATTGCTGGGCTTGCAGGGCACATTGCCCTGCTGAAATGGAGAAGAGGGACAAGGAAGCACAAGGTCTGACTGCCTCTCACCATTCATCCCCAAAGCACCACCGGCACCTGAACACTTGCAAACAGCATTGCCATTTCTGCTTAGATGATTTTGACATCTTAGTGCCACAGTGACAGAATCTAAGAGCTGGTTGCTCCTGGGTTCTGCGGCAGAGAAGGTCATCAAAAACCGTGTTGTGCTCTACATCATGAAACATGCTGTGGCCAGTTTGGCTTCAGCTGGGACCTCCAGAGATGGTGCAAGCTCGTCCTGTTGTGCTGCTATGGCTTATTGACTAGGAATACCGACACCATGGGTCTTCCACTCCCTGCTCCACGGAGACTGAATTACTGTTGGTCAGACCAGTTGCTGACTCTCAGTAAGTCACCTCCTCAGCTGCTGAGTACATGGACCAGAAGGGCTCAACATTTCCTCTGTCCTGCTCTAGCTCTCATGACTTTACATGAAGGTGAGGCTTATCTCCTCTGCAGCTGGGGTATGCTAAAGTAGTGATGCATTGCTTAGCAGCAAAACTAAACTACCAAGAGCACGAGTTACCAGGGACACAGTTCCACGACAAGCTGGGCAGGCCCTGCTTTATGTTTGGTTACTTTGGTCCCTGAGCAAAAAGAGCAACTAACTCTTATCTGCGCAAAACACTGGCCTCTTGCGTGGTGCAAATAGTGCTCTCCAGGCCTGATGTGAGGCCTCCAAGTGCCTTCACAGAGGTTTCCTACAACTCCTGGGAAACACTCTGACCCTTTTTAATTTTTTTTTTTTTTTTTTATTTTTTAATGGAAGCATGCCCTGCAGATTTAATTTGCTATTTTGCAGACAATCTGGCTCTTCTTTTAATTTCAAAATAGATGCTATACAAACTGATCAGCAATTCATCTGAAATTACTAATGATTTGCATGTACTTTTGGCACAGTCCTATTATGTCCTACCAAAAATTATGCAGCAGCATGTGATACTCTAATTCAAAATCCTAAAAATAGAATACAATTATAGAAAAGTCTTCTGTTTAAAACAAATACCTACTGTTATTTTTGCAGTTGCTTCAGGTTTGTTTCAAAGTTGTATGCCAAAGAAAGATGTATCATAACTGTGGCATGAGACATTTTACAGGCTACATTTAAACAATAATGGAATAGAGTCAACAGTGTAATGATATCAACATTTCTTCTCTCAATAAACCAGGCCATAATGTCCAAACTGGATTGTGAGCTATGGCTAAGCACCGAATAGCTCCTACAGGGTAACTACAGCAGTAAGTAACTTGAGTACAAGAACCTTTCTGTAAAAACAAATTTTATTCTGTGGCACAAAGCAAAGATCAGCTTTTGCTGTTGATTAAATGCTGAAGCAAAGTGAAAGCACTTAATCAACTGCAAAGCTCATTTAATGTAAGTGTACTCCAACACTATAGACATTATTGATATTATATATGAAGAGAAAATGTTTATCCAATATTTCTCACAAACCCACAATTTTCTCCTCAGAGGACTTGGAATGTGGCTGTGCCAATCACTGAAAGCCTTTCCACTGGTCCTGATGCTTATTTAGGGTATGTACATTACATGAATTACTAAACATGCTTCTACACAAATAACAAAAATAATTCTAATCCTTAGTATGTATGTAGCAGTTTCCATCCATAGGCCATCAAATGCTATAGAGATGAGTAAATTTTCTGGTTTTAAAAGACTTAGGGTGGCACATCCCAAAGAGAGATGTTTTTTTGAGAACAAAAGGCAAGGCCCACAGACATGGCTACTTTCCCACCACAATTATCATCTTGGCAAATTGAGAATGGACAGCCATGAGCATCCTCATCGGTCACTGAAGTGATGGCTGGGAAGAGACAGGGTCTAAAAATCTCAGATCCCATGCACTACAAAATTCATATTTGAAACAAGAGCTGGTCACCCAGTGAAGCAGGTTGAGCAGCCAGTATACAGATAACTTCTGTGGCTGTCCAGGGTTTTCACTTGCTCAAATCTTCGCCCCAGGGAAGAGCCTACTTTCCAATTTGTAGATGACAAGTCTATTTCCAAACACAGGTCACACTACTCTGCCTATGCATAATTTAAGCACAGTAATAAAAAGTAGTTTTAGATACCACACTTGCCCTTGAAGCCCTCTTCTTCTTTTGCCTTTTTGGAGAAAGAAACAAACACAAGAGACGGTCAAAACAAACACATGGACATGTTACTAGAAAAACAGTGAGACAAACAGAAGGTAATTTTTGAGATGACAGATCATTTCAAACAGACTCATATATTTTCTCCCTGAAGAATATACTTTCTTGGCTCAAAAGCCAAAATAGATAACTTAGGCTTGATCCAGAGCCTATTAAAATCAACAGAACCTCCCTTCTGACTTCACATGACTGGAGGAAAAAATTGCATATTTTAATTTCTTTGCATTGTACCAAAAAAGGAAGAAAAGCAAAGCATTCATCCTCACTACATAAACCTGAAGTCTGAAATGTGTTGCCAGTAAGACATTCTTGCAAACCACTCCCCACCACCCCACACAGCTTCCATCACATCTCCCTAATAAGGGCTAAGACATTCAAGACCATGAAAGGAACAGAGTAAATAAAAAGTCATAATAATAATAATTAAAAATTCTTTTACCCCCTAGAATTAAGTTCCCCTTTTCTTGCTATTATACTCCTACGAGCAGATGCAGAAATGCCTCCAGATGGTGGGTGTACGGGACCTCCCGATCTAACAAGGGGGAACCCCTGTGACAGAGTGCTGCTGAGCCCGTTTCCCATATAAATGGCCTGGATTCAGCTTGATGTCATCCTCCCTGTATATGCTACTCAACGCATGGCCAAGAGTATGTGGGTTCATCTTGTAGGGATGTTGGGCTATTTACTTGGCCAAACTCTTGTCATCTCACCTAACTACTCACAACTCAGGTAGGGCAAACTGAGGTTGCATGTCCCCGCATCTGATATCTACCTCCAGCCTAAGGGCTTTTCTCCTTAGAAACAAATAGGAAGCAAAGAGGTAAAAGCAAATGTTTCCAAAAGAAATACAAAGCTGAGTAATGAAACAGAGCAAAACCATGGAGATTAGTAGAAGGCATATATGCAGCTGCTCACTTTCGTAAGGACCTTAGCTTGTAACGAAATGCAATATCAACATCTGGCAAGAGGATACCAAGGCCCATACGACTGTTATCAAGTCTGACAGCTTTGTTTTCCACTAGTTCTACATCAAAATGAGCCAATAGTAAGAAAAGAAACATCTTCATCTCATTCATTGCGAGGAACCTTCCTGGACACATGCTGATCCCAGAGCCAAAGGGCATTAGGAAATACTTCAGTTTTCTTCCTGCCTTGTAGAATGTGGTTTTCTTCTTGCCATTCTCTATGTAGCGATCGAACTTATACTCCTGAAAATAAAAGAGAAACAGAGAAGAAGCATTATACAACAAGGCAGTTAGATGAGTTGCTTTGTTTGCACAATGCTAATGCTTCTGAAACACAGAAAATAAGATAAAGAGGAAGACAAGGAGCTGACAGCTTCTCCTTTTTAGTTAGTTCCCTCAAGTTTCATTAACTCACATTATTTTCCCTGCAAAGAACACTCCTTAAATCCCCTTACTTAGCTTAGCCCTTCTACATCAAACTCTTTCAACTTCCACATCTCATCCACTGAGTGTCTGGCCGATATTGATTGTAATTAGGTTTTTGACTGCTTTGTGGCAGTGACAATGAACCTTAGTGGAAGGACAATTTTCTTGTAAAGCATCGTATGCCCTTAGTGTGGTACATACATCATGAATAAGAATAATCTGCCAAATTCTGCAAATGCCTATGAATAAATTAATGCACTGATCTTGCTCTTGCAAGCTAGAGTAAAATCCATCCTTCTTTTGCACCCAGTGGTGCAGAGTATTCAAAAACCAGACCAGATCCTTTGCAGTCAATTTTCCCTTCAGTTGGAGATGGTTGCTGCTTAATTTGCTACACCTGACCTTCAAATGTTTTGCTCCAGAAGCTGTGTGTAAAGCAGGACAACCGCCACAGATTGACATTATATAGAGGGTGCTTTCAAGTAAGGCTTGAGGTTGCACTTGTAACCTACATTCCATAAATTGAATATATAAACTGAACATCTTTCTGACTATTTTCCAGTAGCAAGATCCCCGTTTAGAGACAATACATGTTTTTGAATGAAGGAGATCTAGCATCCTCACTCAGTCAATGGCAAATTAACCACTTACAAAATCCTCCTGCATGCTTTGAATAAAAATGACAGACACTTCTTGCTTATGGTCACTCATTAGCATTTGTCCTGCTTTGCATACATCTGCTATAGCAGCAGCCATTTGGAGCTGGCTGGGAACAAGTCAGTCAGACAGAAACCAACCTCGACTGATTAAAAAACCCCCACACCACAATGAAAAATACACTGATATTGATCTACCTATTAGATTAAAGGCTCTGAAAACCATGCACTGCAGGTCTTGCTGTCGAGAAAAAACAGTGGCAGGGGAGGTGGTCTATGAAAAAGGGAACCAGTATGAGGTGCACTGGATGGGAGGTAACTTTGGGTGTTGAAGAAAAGGAACTTCTCTAAATGGCAGAGTTCTGGACTTTCCACAAAGATAAAGGTGATTATACATACATTTCCACTGACAAGCAATTCTTTTCAGTCTCTTTGAGCACCTCAGCCAAAAGGAAGAATGCCATTTTTTTCCCCTGGTAAGTTATTGCTTTATTTGAAGAAGCATGGTAACAAATGAAAGCCCAGAATACCACTTCTTCCTTAAAAAAGATTCACTTCCTAAAATGTAAATCCTGCTAGTCTAAAAAAGCACTGCTAAATATGAACTGCAATAGCTTAAAAAGCCAACCCAAACCAGAGCTCTTCATTTTGTTGGAACATTTCCACAAGGTGCACTCCTGGCGTCTGGAGCAATTAAGAACTGTGGTAGTGAACACATAGACATACTGGGTCAAACCTTATGCTTTCTTTGTCACCTTAAGAGCCATCTGAGAGTTGTCATTGCTTTTACCAAAAAATGAATCGGCATCTAAGGAATTGGGAAAGCAGAAAACAAGTGTGAGACAGGAATGGAGCCAATGGCAGTAAGATCAAACTCAGGCTTGTGCTGCTGAAGTCCCTTGGGTTGGAAAGCTAGTTGGCTGGCTAAATAAAGACTAATTTTTGACAATAAAGTAACTTTCAGCCATGCACAGGGCCTGGTTGCTCAAGGTCTCTTGAAAGAGACAGGGTGGTTGATGGCAAGGAAAAGGTGAAGACACTGAACAAGAACAGGCAATGAAGTTCTGAGTGGATCGCCTGCTAAGAGTATTATGAAAATTGAGCAATCTCCTGTGATTGATATAAGTATCTCTCTGTCACATCTCGTATTTAGCTTTGTTTGGGAAGCCGCCATGTAAGGATTCCTGCAGGGTTTCCTGGTGTTTCACTCTATGGGATTTGCAGAGTTCATTTATTGAGCTCTGTAACTAGCTGAGTTAGGATTTAGGGGTTCACTTATCCACTTTATAGAAAACTTACTCATTTATTTAGCCTATGGTGAGTGGAGAGAGAGGTCAACAATATATGCTTACACTTGTACAATATGGTGCCAAAGCAGAAGATAGCTTGAACTTAAATTTATGTATCCAAGAGAAAAGCATTTCTACAAAATTATCTCATCGAGCTGCCTGTTTTCCCAGGAAAGTTTTCCCTAAATACATGACAAGCTCAAGACTGCACCTTTCAAAAAATTCGTTCTCCATCTCTATCTGATCCTCAGTAGTTATTGTTGAAAGCACACTGCATATTTTAAGAACCAAACAGAACAGTGATTTCCCCACTTTTCAAGAGAGCTCATGTGCTGAAATCAACGCACTGCAATGTGTGGATTGCTCATTCACTATCAAAAAGTGAAAAATATATGAACTAAAGCTGTACTGTGAAAGCTAAGCAGAGCTGATACTAAGCAGATATATTCAAGAAATGGAAATATGATAATACATTCTGTCAATTATTGGATAAGGGAGGGGATCAGTTTCCACACGGATGCTTCTGGTCTAGGACCTAAACAAACAGATGGACTTTTGACAAATCAATAATGTTCTCCAAAATAAAGTGTTAGCAATAGAATGAGAAAAAGCTTATTTGTTAGTTGTTACTTTTTAAGGGTGGAAATATTAATCAACTTTTTGCCAATATATGGATTATTTTTTAAAACCCTAATATTCGCAGCAGGCTTTGTCTTCATTTTTGGGTGAGAACAGACAGCAGAGCCCTCCTGGTTGTCATTTCCATTTTCATGGACCCAGTGTTCATCCCTGCTGTGGTTTAGGCCCAGCTGGGAGCAGGGCAGCATGTGTCCGCTCGCCTTCCTTCCAGGACATTACTGCCAATGACTTGGCATACGATGGTGGTGCACTTCATAGAAACTTCAACCACATGGGCTGTGCGCATCAGACTTCATCTAGGTCTAGAGGTGACTGCCCATTATCCAGATCATTACAAATCACCTCCAGCACAGCTAATTCCCTCAGGTACTGGATACCTCTCTCCATGGTGGTCCACTTGCCTGGGTGGCATGTAACATCTTCTTTGAAGGTGTACCTCTCCTTCACGCCCAACAGGAGTCGCCTCCAGAGGCTGAGGGCTTGTGTCCGCTTTCCAATCGCCTTGTCAATACCCCCTTCCCTAGACAGGGAGCCCAGCTGCTTGGCTTCCCTACCCTCTAATTCCAAGCTACTGGCCCTGTTATCCCAGCATCGGAGCAGCCAGGTGACCATGTGCTCACCTGGATGGCAGCCAAAATCCTTTCGCATATCTCGCAGCTCACTCAGGGATAGGGATGGGGTGATTATGTCTGGTTCTGCCTCTTCCTCCTGTTCTCATGATCACCCCTGTTCACTTTCATTCCTCACTAAGAGGACTGATTTCTTTGTGTACTTCTTCTTCTGTATAGGGGCAACTGATACTGGCACAGGCTGGTTCTCTCGTTCAGCTGCAGTGCCTCTTGGTCTGTTTTCAGGTCCAGAGACCTTCTCTTCCCCTTGAGGGCACTGAGTAGTGTTCAGAAGGTCTCAGTAGGCATGGACCAGGCCTCCAGCATGTTGTAATGATTTGTGACTCTCTGGAATTGCCAGGGTGATGGCATACCTTTTCCAAATGTTTTACTAGTTTTTCAGGATTTGGTATTTGTTCAGGGGTGAAATTCCAAAATGTTGGGGGCGACCACTGTCCTATGTACTTGCCCATACTCTCCCACACCCCCTGCCACTTGTAATTATCCAGCCTCAGGGCTGATCTCTGGGTGGTATTCTCGGAAAAATGTTGTTTAACCATGAACAATACCTGGGACACATTCAGGAGACACAGCAATAAGAACATGCTGGCTTGGGCATCCCAGGGATATTCAATATTCTCTAAAGCTGCTATAATAAGCCTGAAGGCAGAAGGAGATGTGGAAGAGTGGGAGAAGTTATCCCCCTCTGTCCCTCCTGTGGACTGGGTGCGATTAGTAACAAATTCCATAAGCAGGCACCCAAGGAACGGGCAGGACAGCGATGCCACTTACAAACACGAACTAAACCTCATCCCCAGTGCCCCAATCATCATGACCAGTGACCCAATCATATCAAGAAGTCAACATTAGCCAGTGGAGCAGGATGATAGCCCTGATCCCCCTCCCAGCGGTCACAAACATGACTGCAGGGAGTGCATAGTGCATGTACGAGCTTACACAGCACCACCACGTGAACAGATGAACCAACATGGTGACCCATGGTTACTTAACTACTATAACAAATGCATATATATTAAAAAAAAAGCTTTCAACACACTGGCCACTCTGCCGTTATCTTAATCCCTCGGGCCTCACGTTGGGCGCCAAAAAGGACTGTCGTGGTTTGGGCCCAGCCAGGAGCAGGGCACCACGCAGCCGTTTGCTCATCCCTCCCCCGCGGCGGGTGGGGAGGACAATTGGGAGAAAAGGGTCCAAACCCCTCGGGTTGAGATAAGAACAGTTTAATGGAACAACACAAAGAGAGAAGAAACAATGGTAAAACAACCACACCACTGATGAAATAATAGGTACAGTGAGAGACACAGAACGCAACAGCTCACCGCCTGGACCACCTGCCACATCTTGCCATGCTCCTTCCTGCTGTTCCTCCCGCGGTTCCTCCTTATATACTGAGCATGATGTCAGCATGGTATTGAATACCCCTTGCCTACTTCGGTTTGGCTGTCCCTCAGCTTCTGGTGAAAATTAACACTATCCTAGTCAAACCCAGGACAATCCCGGTGACTATACCTTACTCCTGCTAACTCTGACAAGCTCCACACCTCCTCTTACCATGGCTGGTGAAGCTCCTGCACAGCGGGATGCTGTCGCACTATCAAGGCACTTGAATCTCATCTTTCCTCTGCAACCTCATATCCTTATATTCCCAAACAGGAGAGCCTCAGGGGGCAATGCCTCTAACATGGGTTTTCTATAAACATGTAAAAAAAAAGCCAGTTCCCTTCTTCTTTGGCTCAAGTGCCAAGGATGGAAATCACCATGATTGTGAGACAGACATTTGCTTAGGAAAATGGGGATGAGGAATGGATTAGGTATGAGCTCTTGCCTCTCAGGCAGCGGAGGCATTTAGCAGCCTCAGCATGCACTGTTGCTCTTTGTCCATGGCACTTTAGGCTGCGGACAGCAATCTGGGGGAGCAACCTAGCTGAGACGAGGACTATTCAATTTGCATGCACGTGGTGAACTTCTGAAGCTGTATTAAGGCTGAGGCAGGGTGGATTAATTTCAAGTCTTTGATATTCATTAACTCGAGCGTCAGAGAAAAATACATAGAGATGACACAATTACCCTCCAAGCTTCGCTGCAGAGCAACAGCTTTACAGTCTCAAGTTCACAACACTCTACTAATTGATCAAGAAGGGGTGAATCCCTATGAAAAGAGGTGGAAAAGCATAAGGCTCAAGTTAGACACTGCTGTTATAGGGCTTCAGAGAGTCAATGATGCTTTGGGGACGCTTAGCTAAATGGTCCACATTATTTGGTATTTAAACCACCTTCTATTATTCAGCCCTCCTTGGGTATCAAATGATCCACTGCCAAACAAAACCCACATTTAGCCTAAAGTTTATGGTAGTCAATATGCATTGTCAATTCCTTTGAAAGCAGTAGCAGTCAGTTTCATCACCATATTTCTCTCTTCAGGCCATGAATCCTTTGACCTACAGGGCCCTAGAAAATACATCTGAAAGTAGGAAGATTTGTTCCATAAGAAGGAACAGCAGTAAAAAAAAAAAACAAAACAACAGCCCACAGATCACAAACGGCTTGGCTGCTGTGATGTGCCTGGAGTAGGCAGAATAGCACCAGCCGAATATTTACCTTAGGATCTTCATAGACCTCAGGGTCCATGTGTAAAATCTGAGGGTAAAGGGCTATCCAGTCTCCTTTCCTCAAACCAACTTCTTGATTTCCTTCAAGCTTGAGAACAAAATCCTCCTGGCTGATGCGAATGTTCATGGAGGATGAGCACATTCGTAAACTCTCATTTAAGGCACTTTCTGCGATTAAACAAAAGTGGAAGGGGAAAGCATCAGAAATAAGGGAGGTGACTGGAAGTTATACTTGGCTACAGCTGCTGAATCTCAACAGGTTTAGTAAGGCAGACTAATGGAAAAAAAGGGAAAAAAACCCCACAAACCAAACCAAACATAAAGTAGAGACCAAGAGGAGGCAATAAACAACTGTGTGGGGCACTGGAGACGGGGTGGGGAGCAGCGATGCTGAACCTCTCGATATGATTCTCACTGATTGGGCTGAGAAATCCTGTCGGTTGTAGGCAGCACTTAGTTTTGGGTGGAAAGTCATTCAGGCATCACGTTGAAAACAACGCAATCAAGAGACACGAATGCTTTATGCATTTACAAATATTTTTGAGGTTGCAAGCAAATACTAGTGAAAGCATCCATGGAGCTGTTTAGCTTGCCTTTTGAAAGCTGCTGGATGGAATGGCAGGATTATACTTTAGAAAAATCATTTCACTTGTTAATTCTGTAGTTGTTCTGAGGATTTTTAAACTTATTTATTTACTTTTCAATGTGCTACACTGCCAAATGATAAGTGTCTGTTATTGTCAGAGTGAATGAAACCAATTTTTTGCCTGGTAATTTCAAGGGAGAAAGACACTTTTAATTGGCCAAGAGAAAACAAAACATAGGGAAGGTAAGATTTCTTTCTCCACCATCACATCCTGGAAGGCTCCAGAAGCTGAATGTCCTTGCTTTCCCAGTGGCCTTCACCTTTTGCTCCTAGCATGACAGATTTTATGGTTAATTTCTGGCAATTTATCCTGGCAGTTTGAGGAGGAATTCCTTTTGGAATAATATGCATAATTTGCATAAATCATTCTGATAGCATGTATATCAGCATGTAGCTCCTGTCTAGGGCTGCATCTCTCACTTTGTAATCAAAACTGACTATTTTTCCACCAGTGTGTATGGACGCTGTTATACATGACTTGATTCCTTCTAATCGTCAGTGTGAAAAATAGCCTAAAATAGGGTTTCATTTTCACATAATAATCCATTTGTGTCTGCATTTATGTTCTGTGATATCAAACAAGCCTTCTCTAAGTGTTCACCAAGGCACTGTAACTGCTGTACCCAAAAGGTTAGTTTATTAGAGACAGTAGTTACCCAGTGTAGATGCCCCTGAAAAAAAAAAAAAAAACCAAACGTTCTTTCACTAAAAATTAAATCTGGTGCAGCATGCATAGCAAATAAAGTGGCCCTGGATGCTTTCTTGCAGGAGGTTTTTCCTTAAGCATGCATTTGTCTAAAGAAATGAGGCTGCGGTCAGCTTTGTGTGGCCAGTGCCGTGATTCAATGTGACGTACAGTGAGTCTGTGCATATTCTTTTGGACTGCCTTCGTTACTATAATCAGGCAGAGTCAAATCGGCTTGTTGGTGACGAAGCCAGAAAAGAACCCTGGTTCCAGAAGATAGCCTCTACTGTGGATAGCCACAAGGCACCTGACACGATAGATTTCAACTGGCAGTGCTCTGGCAACAAAACTTTACGTGGTATGAAGAAAGGGTCCAGCCTCCACTCCCAGACTGTCTTCAACCTGCAAAAAATTAAGCTGGTAACTCCATGCTGGTCCACCATTTGGAAACAGTGGTGACATATGTAGTGACAGCAGAAATCAAATGAAGAAGAGGGAAGGAGGGGAAAAAAAAAAGAAAAATAATTATTAAAGCGCCAGTGTGAAATAGCAGGTTTATGTTTAACCACCCAAGCGATGCGGTCACATCCTATCGGCGGACATCTTCCCAGAAAGCATGGCAGTCCTTGCCCGCTGCCGGATCCCAAATGACAATTGGGCAGCATATCTTATGCAGAAGTTAATCACAATAATGGAGCACAAAGTGTGGCTTAGCGGTCAGATCGTAAATGACAAATCTGTTTTACCTTCCAGTACCAGTTATGTGTGGAAGGCAAGCTTGGCTCTTGCTCTGAGCGATCATGCTGATAATAACTAGATGACAAAAGTAATGAGTCACATAATGATCAACAAAGGAGAATGGAGCTTATATGGCTTTGCAGGCTCACATTAAAAAAAAAAAGACAGTCAGCTTTCCACAAATACTGGAGTTATACATTCAGAGGAATGACAACTGCACAATAAAACTGCAGCCTTTACTTGCAGTTGTCATAGTTCAGCAGACACCAGCCATCGCTGCTGACAGACCAGCTGGGGTAGCTTGGGAGGCCTTCCATTCTGCACTGTGAGGTACAGTAAATTATCCAGCACGGTAGAGCAACATCTGTTTCTGTGCTTGTGCCGAACAAACAAGGCAATTTAAAGCATACCAAGGGATAACCAAGCAGCAAATGAACATGACCCTCATTTTCCCCCCCCTTCTTACATACGAGATGCTAAACTTCACTGTGTGAGTGCTACATAAAGAAGCCAGGCTGTTGTTTGATAAGGTGTTGTCAGAGAGATTTTACATCTTTTCGGGGAGGGGGGCAGGGAGAGCTATCTCATAGTATTGTTATTCTTAGAATCCTCCCACTTCTCTCTTCATTTCTCTTGTACTAAAGCTAGCACTCAGCTTCCAATTCATTCTAGATTTTTTAAAAAAACTGTTTCAATATACTTATAAATATTCAGTCTTTAAACCCTAATTTGCTATACTTAGTTCACATGCCTTCAAGCATTTGTCTTCCAATTTCCACTGAATAAATGCGTACTAATGAGAAATAGAGCAAGCTGCTGAGGCAAAGCTGGGTGACTTGAGCCTGGCCTGCCACCAGCTTGTGATAGGCAGGCAAATTGAGTTAAAATGAAAAGTCTTGTCAGCTGAAATACAACATGGTAGCCAAACAGCAAGCTGTCAATCATCCAGCCAAAACAAGGGACTGCAGGTAATAAAAGGTCATTGCAAATCATAAGTGCATTTGGTTTTGTAGGCAAGTTAATTTTAATTAAACACGATCTCTATCTGTAAATGTTTTATAAAACTTATTGTGCATAATGGCTTGTAATTTTTCACTAACACATAGGAGGTAATAGGGTACTATAATTATTAAAGTGTATTGTAGGAAAATAGCTATCGAGTACGCAAATATTTTGGGGGGGGGTCATTTACCCACAGGCATCACGGTGTGCCAACACAAACAATGATCTGAAACAACTACATTTGAATCTTACTAAGAACTAAATGGTACTGCCCAGCCCATTCCCAGAAAATATATTCATTTCTCTCAGTCCAAACAATGATTTTAATGCTTAGCATTTATGTTATGACTACGCACTCTGTATTAGCTGTTTTTGTGTTTCTACCCTTTCTTGTGTACAAAACAATTTTTCAAGCTGTGCTCTTTTTGCAGGAAATATCTGGGATTCAGCAATGACCTGGGGCAAGAATACTTCACCATATAAATGAATGGACTAATATTAAACAAACGAACTGACTAAACATGCCTAGCATTAAACATGCACTAAGTATATCTCTGCTTTACCCTTTGCATTTCCATTATAACTATAAAAATCGACAGACCATTCTCATGTGTCGTTTACCATATTAGAGCTCCGTTGTGAGCCATAACGACTAATAATGTATGTTACTCATGCACACACAAATATGCACATTTGGGTTTCAGGAAAAGTTGTACGTAGACAAAACAAAGTGTGCTGCCCCAGAAATGCCATTGGAAAAAATAATCAGGGCCAAAATTTGCTAGTTTTGCTGTGGGTTGAAAGGTTATTTTTCTTTTTTAAATAAAAACTCAACGTACTTGTGCTTTGAATTTAGAAGTAAATCAGGCCATGTTGTTTCCTAGACCCAAAGAATTTGACCATAACAACAACATTGCTTCCTGAGAAAGGCTTTTTAGCAATTCTTGCTTGTTCTCCATAGCATGAGGAATCCAAAAAAATGCTCTTTTTATAGCAGGCCAAAAAGAGGATGGAGAATCACAGCGCTTAAACCAGGAGAATGAGATGACAAGGTGATGAATGTACAAGAATTCCACCTTGTCTGCCTGATTTGAGAGCAGGGTCAGAAATCCCAGTTTCCTACACTCTGGGTTGGCACAGGGGGAACAGGAAGAGGAAAAGCTCAGTCTTGGAGGTTGGGGTCAGTGAGCTGGAAGGGCAAAGGCAGTACTGACCCACAGCCTTCCTTCAACATGGGGAGTTTTGGTGCACAAGCAATGCAAATCAGGACCTTTGTCCCTCCTACATTCCTTTCCCCTTTCCACTGAAGCATGACTTTAATTCTCTTACGGTACAGATTTTTTTTTCTATATTATTGTTTTATGGGACAGTCTCCAGCCCTTTATGACTTAAGTGCCAGAAGAACTGAAATCTAGCTTCTGTTCATATCACATTACGTTTAACGCGATTACAAAACTTAACAAAAGTATTACAAGAATACTACAAAGTAGGATGTGGCACTTTCCTTTCAACACATAAATCAAATGTTACCAAGGTAGTTCAAGATTTCAAGGAGCAGCAGAGGAATGACACAGTTAATGTTTTAAACGGTTCATCCCATTTTACACCAGATGGTTTTAGTGATGTACATGATTTTATTTTCCTTATTGCTACATTTCTGGGGTGCCTTTTTTTTTTTTTTTGCCTTTTTTTTTTTTCCTTGCCATTCCCATCTCAGTCTCCAAATACAAAATAAATTCTTTCTTGATCTTGTTGATGCTTGGTAACTTTCCTTTTCTCTTATTTTCTGGTGGATACTAATTCTGATGTGAAACAGTTTTACTTGTGTTCTTTAAAAGTACACTAAATGCTTAGAATGTCATGTTATTCTTCAGAAGTGTCCTTGTTATCCCCTACTGTCCTTGTATCTCCCTTACTTCAAAAGCATTATCCATTGGTTAGAGATTAATCTGCACCAAAACAGCCATGTCTCCAGATGAAACCAACTTACTAGACTCACGCTATATAAGATTAACATTAATGCTGTTAAAAAAGTAACTAACTGGATCAAACTCAGTTTTATATTTGTACCGTGAGAAGCAAATCAAGTTTGAACACAGATTCTTGAGACATGCCACATTGGATGGTCCTGGAGAACGGCAACTATTACTTGGATCCAAACAGAGACTACACTGCTCCACCACTCTGTCTTGCTACAGCTTTGTTTAAGAGTGGAACATCAGTTCAGGCCATGAACTACCAAGAAATATAGACATGACCTGACAAACCATAATAGACATGAGCTCAGTTTTAACAGGGGACTGGTTTTGACATTTAAAAAGAGAGGAATATTGAACCTTTAAGCTTTTCTTCAACTATTGTCTACCATATTAACATTATCTATGGAGACTTTCAGATGCTTAGACGTTAGGTTTCTACCTTCTACACCCTCTCCCCTCCCTCGGGCTAATTTTAGCATTTATCTTGCCAGTGCCTGTGCACTAGTAAATGAACTGAAACCATCAGCTGATGCTCCAAAGGCCTATCTTCCAGCTCCTGGATCAAACAACTTCCAATGGCCACTGCAAGGGTCTCCCTCTGAACCCCTGATCCAGAACTGGAAGATCTGTATCTTCCTTGAAGCTCCCTATTTTGAATCAAGGCACTTTTTTCAATACTGAAGACACCACTTCTTTGCAAAGCTTTAGCTTCTTATATTTTGTTTGGAGGTATCGCTCAACTGAAGCCCACTTTAGAAGTCTTTGGTTTTTTTTTGTTAAAGAGAGCGAAAGAAAGAAACTGCTTGTGAAAAAAGTACATTTGCAGTTTAAATACATTATCCCACTTTAATTTCAGAAAAGGGTCTTTCTTGGCAGTATCATACAGAAGTATATGAAATACACTAACACTTCAGCAGATGCTCAGAATCAAACAACTTAATAGTCATCAACTTTTTTTCAAATAATTGAAAAGCTTCGATTTAGCCTTTTGCATACCTTGAATAGTTAATTACCTAGGCTTTAATGTTTACATGCAATGAGAGTATCTACAGCTATAAACTACATAATTTATAATTGATGTAAATGGGTGTTATTATGTCAATTAGGCAGCTGTGTCCTCCACCTTCTCAGTAAACAGAAATCAGTGATAAAATGAGTTTGCTGGGAGAGCCCCTCTTTTCTTCCTAACAGATAAAAATAAATTACCTAGATAGACTAGGTTGTCCAATTGTTCTCTGGTGAGGTGGATGTTATATGTGGGCCCTCGCTTTTGACCTGTTGACTGCAGCAAATGGTCAATCTCGTCACGCACCGCTGCAAGAGCTTCTGGGTGCCGCAGAAGATAATACATGGCCCAGAATGTAGCTGGAATCGTGTTTCCCACAGAGGCCCACAGGAAGGCAAAATGATGTGCTGGGAGAAAATAAGTGAAAAGGAAGATTAATAGCGTTTATTACACTGATTAGATTTGCAGTGTGCTAATTAAAAGATGTTAGGACACAGACCCAGCCAAGGATCAGTGAATGCTAATGAGGACCAATAGGCTTCTGAAGTCTAATTTTCTGCTTAATGAGAATAGTTTGAAATGTAAT